CCTACGCAAAGCCAGAGGGAAGGGGAGAAAAGAAGGGGTTTGTTTTTCAAATTGCCAATGTTGCCGCCTTAATGAACCTCCTCCCCCTCCAGTGACGACAAAATGGACATATGGGGTGAAAGTCTTCATTTTTATCAAAATCATTACTTCTATTATTTCTAGTGTGCCTAACTTGAAATCTTTTCATGCGTGCCGTGAATCCGTGAAGAAGGGATGAAAATGACAAGCAAAATAAGAAGTGAGGATGGAGGACACATTCTGAGCAGAAAGCTTAGACAAGTTCCTACCTTATTTCAGCCATTTCTACTCCCACTTCTTTCGAAGAAGGAGCCTTGGAGGGAGAAGATGGAGAAGGCTGGGAGAAAAAACGATTCCTCGTCTCTCCGTTCCACGCATTGCCGTTCACTATTTGCTCATTCTTCGTCTGTGGCAGTTCGTTGAGCCTGGCTTGGTGGCGGTCCCGAAGTCGAGCACGGGCCATCAGCACTAGGAATAGAAAAATTTTAAATGGTGACGTTTTCCTTCTGGATCAAGGCAAATAGTTGTCCACTTTTTAGAAAGCAACTTATGATGGCGAGCCTCACGAAAGTTCACTGGAAAGTCAGGTTTTTAGACGTGCAAACGAGTGGACAGACAGCAGCGACAGAAACACGCAGCGAGTTAAATGCCCTTTCCAACCTTGTGGCTTCACCCGCAATTACGGATGCAATGAGTCCATCACTTCCATGAATCTTCTGAAAGAAGGGATGTGGGTCATTTGGATCACCATGGGTAATCTTGAGTCACCTTCGGTTACACTGGATCAAATTTTGTAACTCCATCTTAATTTTAGCATACTGGTATCACAGTAGAAAAATTTGGAACATGTTAAAACGATAGAACAATATGGGTTACTTTGGGTCATCACGGGTCGCCTTGGGTCACCGTAGGTCTCTTTGTGCCACACTGGACAATATTTGGTCACTCTGTTTTAATGCTTGTAATATTCCATCACCCTCGGATACCTTGGTCCAGGTTGGGTGAATCGGAAAATGTATGCCACTTTGGGTCACGATGGGTCACTCAGAATTTTTCTATGCATATAGGACCAGATTTTGAGAGTAAGGTAACTTTTGAGTTTCTGAATCAACTGAGATTAGTTTGTGAGTTTCAGAGAATCTAGACCGGAAATGATTCCCATTTTATCCCCCAATGATTCCTGACTTTAGTTCCACTCTGTGTAAGACCTATATGTAACACTTGATTTCTAGTCCTAGTTCTTGTCGGCTCTATTCCTAAGTTACCTTCTTAATACGGGTGAGACCGATTAGATTCTCATGTGAGAATTTTAAAAGGAGTGAACATGGTACGAAATCAGCATTCGGATACTTTCCCTCGCGAAAACCGTTCCTCACCTGACTCAACTGATGGGAATCGTAACCGCAGAGAAGGAAGAGAGCGTTCTTGCAAATACTGTTCCCGAGACACACCCAACTCAAGTATTTCTCCATCTTCATCCACAGCTCGTGAGGGAGGAATTCGTGGCGACCGATCAACTTCCACGTCCACTGCGGGCACATTTTCCTGGAATCACGTCTAATTCCAAGAAAATCGATTTGCGTCGAGTCTTACCTGCACTTGATCGACGAAGGGGGCCATGTAACGAATGGGACTGGCCATGTGATCGACCCTGGCCACGGGCCCCATCCCATGCATGGACAGGAAGCGACAGCTGTATTCAGGTCGCTGGTCGCTGAGGACCCAGAACATCACCGTTCCCATGCTGTGCCCCACGTAATGCAATTTTTCCTGCCCCGTCCTCTCTGTCATTGCGTCCAGGATCGCCGGCAGATCGAATTTTCCCATCTCGTGCCAACTGAAGAACAACAACATCACTGTAGACCACAGACCACTGTTCTGAACGTTTCCAACGTCTGCATTGCGATACCTGAAGGACCAGAAAGCATCGTCTTGGGGGGACAAGGTGCGATGGCGTCGCCCGTACCTATTTCCCCTCACATTTCCGAGCCAAACATCGTATCCTTCATCCGCCAAAATGAAACCTGGAAAATTTCCAAACGGGAAATAACACGCGAATCCTTAACGATGTCTTCAGAGACTTTCTGCAACATTTCGAAGTCGTTTGAAAAGTCCGAGGACGATCCGAAACTGCAGCAGTGTGCAACAATTAGTTCCAAGGCAAGTCCTTTCATTTGGACGGGAAATTGCGTTTAAGGCCCTCGTTAAAATTAGTCCCGCTTCTAACCCAAACGGCTTGCCGCAGCCCATTCAGAGCTTTTTTGATCGATATCAACTATGCGAAACCATGAACGAAATGGATTTCCGATACGAATCTAGGCATCACTTACGAGGGTCCCGTTCGATATCTTTTGGACATTATAGGGAAAAATTCCTCGGTTCCTGCAGAGGCATAGTTGCTCTCTGAAAGAAAAATGAAAACGAGGAAGAAAACGGACCGAGTGCCTTTCCGGGTCCGCTGACGAGCCAGTCAGCCGAGGAGCAAAGGAGGCCGTGTTGGATGAGGACGGGGATCCGGGGTCCCTTGCCTGTTCCGCTCGAACCATGGGGGATCCGGTGGATGTCTAGGATGTATCCGTCTGATGTTGTCACCGTGTGAGTCTCCACGGGGTATCCGTGCTTCGCAATCAGTTCTGGCTGTGGGGAAAGATTTCACGGATTTCTAACTGGATCGCTTCTTGGAAAGTTCACGATTTTCCTGCTGCCGTCGATATCGTCTTAGAAATTAGGATCCAATAGGTCTAGGAACCCTCATGGAAAGAAGACAGAAAAAATATGAGAAACTGACGACAGTCTTGGATCCCGTGGATCCACGCTCTCCATCTCGTTGCATATTGCCTATGAACAGCAGACGTCTATTGTCTTCATATTGCATCTTTTCTGATTGGTGGCCTTTCGTACTCCGCCATCAGCTCCTGCATCATGGCTCTGCATAAGGTCGTGAACGGTGATTGAGAGTCGGTCATCATCCGCGGGACAATGAAGAGCCCGAGGTTAGTTGGGGGGTTTACTTGTCAACAAAGCCAGGGTTGTTACACTGATAATGGCATTCCTGAGTAGAAGGAAGATTGGAAAAGGGATTAAACTAGTTTCAAGTCTCCATTTCCTGTATTTCTTCCCATCGAGCTTGCAGGACATGGAAAACAACAATATGGTACAAGGAGCAAGATGAGAGGGATAAGACAGACAAGTGAGGATGTTGCAATTAAATGAAAACGGGTGACCGGGCAGGGCCGGCCTTAGGCATGTGCCCCCGCACAGGGCGCAAAATTAACCTGGGGCGCCGAAACGTGACTAAATATACGAAGCAATAATGGATGCCGCCCTCAGTTTTACTTCAGAAAGTGACAATGTCTTCCGTTTCGGCGTCAATTTGAACGGTAGGGATTTACCCTTCTCCATCATAGGTTGGGGGGGGGGGGGGGAGGTTTGGAAGTCTCTTTGCACAGGGCGCCGAAATAGCTAGGGCCGGCCCTGCCTTTAAATCCGTGAAGAAGGGATGAAAATGACAAGCAAAATAAGAAGTGAGGATGGAGGACACATTCTGAGCAGAAAGCTTAGACAAGTTCCTACCTTATTTCAGCCATTTCTTCTCCCACTTCTTTCGAAGAAGGAGCCTTGGAGGGAGAAGATGGAGAAGGCTGGGAGAAAAAACGGTTCCTCGTCTTTCCGTTCCACGCATTGCCGTTCACTATTTGCCCATTCTTCGTCTGAGGCAGCTCGTTGAGCCTGGCTTGGTGGCGGTCCCGAAGTCGAGCACGGGCCATCAGCACTAGGAATAGAAAATTTTTATATGATGACGTTTTCCTTCTGGATCAAGGCGAATAGTTGTCCACTTTTTAGAAGGCAACTTATGATGGCGAGCCTCACGAAAGTTCACTGGAAAGTCAGGTTTTTAGACGTGCGAACGAGTGGACAGACAGCAGCGACAGAAACACGCAGCGAGTTAAATGCCCTTTCCAACCTTGTGGCTTCACCCGCAATTACGGATGCAATGAGTCCATCACTTCCATGAATCTTCTGAAAGAAGGGACATCGCTTCCGAAGCTTCAGTTCCCCGGTTTGAATTCTCTCATGCTAGATGCGGAAAAAAAAAACGGGAAACAGAACATACCGTTGAACAGGAAAGCCTGAGCTTCCCCATCGACCTCTTGGGCTCCCGAGGATTTGTTCCTCGATGGCGGTGCCCGCTTCATCAGCTCACCCTCCGTTATGATGGCCATGTCCGTCCAAAATCTCGCGTTGTTCCACTTATCGAGCTTCTTGTACACCTGAGGAAGAACCGGAATCGAAACCGAAGTGCACACTTGATTTTTATATATTCTCATCAATACTTCCCGTCGGCCCCACCGAGGAAGTTTTGCGCTGGAGTATGTAAAACGTATTAATTAGGATTAATAAGGTAATAAGGTCAGCACAGTGGGTCGATTTGCAAGTTTCATCGGAGATGAAACGATCAAATCCAAACACGGGGTCAAACAGTTAAGAACAGACAGGCCGTGATTTCCACGGTCCACCAAAAAAAAAACTTTATCCTTCAAATCCCAAATAATTTCCTCAGAAGACTGGGAATCGGCCCATCACCCGCCTCAATATCTTGCCTGAGCTCCTCCAGCTCCTCGACGCTCAGTCCCTCGAGCTGGCGATACGGCACGTCCATCTTGGTGTCCCCTGCATCTCCACCCAACCCGACGTATTTCACTATTAGATCGATGGGCTTCGGTCGTCCGACCTTGGGGCTAATCTTGCTGTGAAGGCGGGCCAGATTCGTTTTCCATTTCTCTTTCTCATGCAGCAAGGTGCTGGGCGTTATAAGTTCTCCTCCATCCATCTGCGATATTGCGAAAATGCCATCGAAAGTGGAGAGTCGGTTTATGTTTCTTCGTTTCATTTAGAAAGGATCCTGCATCTGAAGCAGTCATCAGATAATTATTATTATGATTTATTCCGGATGAGCTGAACTCTTATGTTGAACGGAACCAAAAAACATTTATAAATTATTTTTCTTACAATCCACCCATATATTCATTCATGATGTACTTGTGAATGAATCTACGTCAACATCGTCCACCTGAATGTAAGCAACGGCTTACGCTTCTCATGAAAGTGAAGGGTCGCCCCATGAAAAGTTGCAATGCACCAGTAAAATTTGTTGTGAGAATTTCCATATTAAGTGAATTCACAAGCGTTTTTATCCAAAAGCTAAATAATTAATTTAAAAAAATTGAAAGTAAATTATTCCGTCTAACTCTTCTCCGTAATTTCCTCGGCCAGGAAGAATTCCCGAAACATCAGGACGAAAGCACCCCAGATTCACAATCCAGATCGATACCACTCACCGTTCTGTCAATCGGAGCTCCTCGATCGAGAAGAAAAGCGGAGCGACGCAAGCGAGACGAGAGGCAGGACGAGACTGACCGAGGAGGGCAGAGGGGAGGAGGCTTCTTCCCGCCTCTGGGGATTTCCGCTTCAACTTCCCGGGGATTTTCACGTGCAGTGTTGCTGTCGTGCAGTGTTGCTGGCGTTCTTTGGTCGCTGTCAAGGTTTCTTGGTAAACTCATTCCTTTCCTTTTTCCTTTCATTTTTACTAGTCCCATGTTTTTGCGTTCATTTAACGTGAAGTCAGTGGAAATTAGTGATTTCAAGGGAAGTTTAGCTTCATGCTCAGGGACTTCGAGTTCTAATGGTTTTCATTCCTCTTTCGCTGTTTGTTTTAGCTTAATCGGACAGAATCGGAATTTTAGGAGTTTTGTGCCATCAGGAACGAAGGATTTACAATTGAATTTGCTGAATTTATTCCACATGCAGGTAAGAAAACCATAGAGGCATGAGGATTTCTCAGAAATAGTAAAAGCCAGCGATCGGAATCCGCTGACAAGATGATTACAGAAATTTGGCTTTTCCTGAAAAAAAAAAAAACAAAGTTTCGTCGTGAATGGGAATGGATTATCAGTAGCAAATTCTCCACTTCGGATCGGGGAGGCCGCGCCATCCCGGGATTCGAAAAGCGATCCCACCCGAAGGAGAGGTGATTGGATTGTTTTTCCTTGCCCCTCGCACTCACAAGCGCCGTGCTGGGGCGGAGGGGAGGGGGGGGTCTCTCTCGGCCTCACTGGAAAGCGCGATGAACCTCATGACGTCACAGTTGTTTTTCGTCTTTTCCCCGAGAATTACTTTCTAAGGCATGGGGCCAAGGACTGGAAAAGGAACATGGGAGAAAGACGCGCTCGGAAAAAAATGTTTCTTTTGGATCGGGATGCTGGCCGGACTCGATGCAATCGCGTGTACGATTTTAGCAATGATGATGGTTCGACGCTCGACGTTTCGCTCGGCGGAAGATTGCGGAAAATGCGAAAAGAGCGACGGAAGAAACCAGAACCGGACGATCCTGCAGAAAATCCGACCGCGAAGGAATTGAACTGAGAACTCGGCTGAGAAATTTCCTATTGGGATTCTCTGCTTTCTTCCTCCAGTCGGAAATGACAGGCCGATTTCGGCGCGAACTGACAGGTTGGCGGGTGTGACAGACAGGTGTGACAGACAGGTTGTCAGTGAGATCACGGAAATTCATATTCCTTCATTTGTTATTTTCTTTACCCCGAATTTTATTTTGCCGTTTCGAATGGACGGAAAATACGACCTTCAATTAACTCTTTCCTTGACGAATTTTAGTGCAATGGAAAATTTTCAAACCGACGTATGTGTGAAAACGAAAACAGACCGGAAGTCATAACTAAATATCGTTTATTTGCAAGAAAAAAAAACTAAGCGGAATGCTCTCCCAAGCAACACACGACGTCCAAGTAACGTCACGGTCAACGTTATTTCATGACGACGGAACGTGACATAATAAAGTTGCAGAAACGTGGAGACGGGCGACACACGTCAGGTTGCTAAACAACCGCAGTGCAACCTCTCGGTCCCACTCCGCCTCCTCTACGAAGTTGGATCTTTTTCGAAGCAGGCTTCGCGAACGAGATGCACCGGATCATCGCAGTTGCCGGAACCGAGGTCCTTTCGCCCCGGCCCAGGGATGCCAGATCTCTCGTTTCCCAGCTGGACCACGCACTCCCTCTGAGGGAACTCCCCGCGGGCTGCAATACCCTTTTCGCATCGTCGATTCTTCCGCGGACTCTTACGTTGACTATTCTTGACCCTGGAATTGCCAGAAGCAGCACGGCGGCCGACCGACGTCGATCTCATCGGGGGTTGGCAATTCCAGAGTTCATTTTCATGGGAAGTATTTCAAATTTTGACAGGACTCTTGAGGCTCGGTGGTCTATTTTGGAATTATTTTTTTTTGTGGTCAATCTTTCACGGTGGACAGTTGAATAAGGAACGTAAAAAAAAATCATTTACATTTAACATTCATAAGTTCAAAATGGTTAAGTTAAGTTTGCGGAGACCCAGGACAGGGCGGCTCAAATACGAAACCCTCGATATGCAGTTCATTCTGGGATACCCTATATCATGCAAGCTAATACCCTCAATAATAATTCTGGGATACCATGTATGATTTTCGTCGTATTGGAGCTTAAAAATCGTGGAATGCCTTGGTTGGAATTCCAATTCATCTCCTCCCTGACACGCCATGGAGCAGAGGGGGGAGCACCCCCCGTCTCCCCCTTTCCCCCCTTTCCCCCCATTCCCCACGCGCTGTCTCGTTCCCTCCCATCTCCTCGCTGTCTCTCCCCGATGCCTCCCCTTTCTCTTTTGCAGTCTTGAGTCTTCTCACGATCCTGCATAGAAGGAAGGAATACATGAATAAATAAAATAATAGTATGAATGAAATCCGCTGTTCCTTGCCCTCTGAGTCTCTCAACCCTGAAGCCACTCTCTCCCACCCCTGAAGCCACTCTCTCCCACCCCTGAAGCCACTCTCTCCCACCCCTGAAGCCGCTCTCTCCCACCCCTGAAGCTACTCTCCCACCGTTCTCAATATCCATCTCAATAAAATGCATGCATCCATAATAGTGACCAGGTTTCCCGGTTTTACTGGGACTGTCCCGGTTCATCAGGCTGTATCCCTGTTTGAATTTCCCTTTTCATTTTCCTGGTGTCCCGGGTTTTCCGCATTCCGAGGACAAAAAATCCGGCATTTGCTTGAAACTGTCCCGGTTCATCCAGAAAAAAGTCTGCCCCCCCCCCATCCATAAATACCAATTTTAACACCATTCCACAGATCAGCCGCCTCCTCTCCTGTCACTAAGTCCCATGATAAGGCCCTGAAATGACTGATGACACCTGAAAACATATTTCGCTCAGCTTGCACTCTGCCAGCCCTGGTGTTGGGAAGATTTCACCATGTGGACCGTCACATACGTGACGGTCCACCGCATGACAGCAGGGCAGACCATACATTTATCAAAAAAAAAATTAGGTACAAAAAAAATCAGGTGTGGGGGGGAGGGTTGTGCAATGAGTGTTGTCTAGACTCGACGAAAGTGAATAAAATTCTATAAACCGGGTCCCCTGCCAGAGAACAAGCTCGCTATCACTCCAGACCCTCATCGCTATTATAAAGTTTAGCCAGGTATTTGTGCCGATCATGCACGCAAGCGTGAGGATTACATGCTGACCTCGTCCAAGGTGATTTTCTATCTGAGATGAAGGCCAATATATTTAATGAACGATGAACCATACCACTGTGATCTGGGAGGCTGGTATCCGGTGGACCCCAGGTGAAGCGATTGGGCTAAACATCGTAAATGCATTTATGCAAAGTAAATTTCATAGGAACGATCGCACCGCACGCGGTGCCATCTCATAACTGACCGTTTCTGCGACATTGCAGAAACGTCGCCAGGACGTCCGTCACTCTGCAACCGGCATGCGACGACTTTCAGCCTGAATGTCTCCTCTCACAATCGAGCTATTTTCGCGAAAATTTTTTTTTTCGGTGAATTCCTTCGGTTTCAGATTACGCGATTTAATCATTTTATACGATTTCCCATACCACAGCACGCCCTTCATTCCGAGCCCTTACTCCCCAAAAACGCGTTTCTGCCCAGATCTGAGAAGGGTCACACCGACTCCCCTTGTCCCTCCTTGTCTCAGTCGTCCTAGTGACGACTGAGACCCATTGGAACTACCCCAGCAAACACAAGAGCGTTGGAGAAATGCTATTGCAACTTTCATTTATATCATCGAAATAAACGCGCCAAAGTAGCCCATAGGAACAATCAATGAATGCTCAAGGAATATTCCATTTGGGGTCCAACACTACCGATTCCATTTTCCCTTGAGGATTTGGACACACTTATATGCCATCCATCGATAAGCGTTATTATGAGAAAATTCTGCAAATTTCCCATGGAGTCAACCAGAAGTGTGAACCATCCCTCCTCCATGCTCCGAGCCGGGAGACCCTTTGGACTGGATTACCTCTTTAGACCTTTTCTTTTTTAAAGAATTTCAATGTCTTTCCCAGTGGTGTCTGTGGAGTAGGATCAGTTACCATGTAGGAAATATTGTGGACTAAATCAGCTGTTTCAGGTTTTCACTCACTATAGCGGCTACTTTGGCGTCATCTTGCGTCGATTGTGAGTCTCTTAAATGGAAGCAGGGATTGTGCAGTTTTTTTTTAACATTTTAACATCAATCTTCCATACGATATTCATAAAATAAAAAAGTTTCCCTTATAGAAAACAAAGAATATATATTTTATTCTAGTCCCTTGGACATCTTCCTTCAGACAGAATAGAGTGAGGAGAACTTCATGCACACAATTTCAGTTTGAGTTATGAACAGAGAAGTTCCATTAGTTTTATCACAGGTAAAACATGAAAGTACCGGTACAATAACATTTAAAAATGATATTTACGGATTCCGTATGTTCAATTCCGAGCCGAAATGACCTTTCTATTTCTGGAATAGTTTCATCATGGAAAGGATTTTGTCATAGACAAGTTTCTTGGCATCCTTGCCGTAGAGGAAATCCAGATGATTCCAAGCGCTGAAGTTCGCTGGGTAACAACCGATCAGGCTCGACGCCGGTAATCGGTTTGATAACCACTCCACGTCCTGAAAAAAAAAAAAAAAATATATATATATATCGAAGAAAGGTTATATGAAATGTTCCTATTGAAATATTTGAGAAAGACGACGATGAACGTACTGTGGGATTGGCGAGCCAGTCGTTCTTTCCCCAATAGAGGAACGTGGGTGTGACGACCTTTGACAAGTCGTACTCGGGAGGTTCCTTTTGGCCGTAGAACTGCATGTTCTTCGCTCTTCCCCAGTCGAAATGCTGGAATTTCTTGGCATTCTCTTTCCCCAATAGAGGAACGTGGGTGTGACGACCTTTGACAAGTCGTACTCGGGAGGTTCCTTTTGGCCGTAGAACTGCATGTTCTTCGCTCTTCCCCAGTCGAAATGCTGGAATTTCTTGGCATTCGCCCCTTGGGCGAAATGGATCATGTTTTGGGTAGAAGTCCCCGCTGGTGTGTGGCGCAAAAGCAGATCGAGCACGGTCTACAGGTTAAAGGACATCCACGGGTTAAAGGATATCCATAGGTTAAAGGACATTCAAAGAAAATTATTCCTACGCATCCACAAATCTTGAGCTTCTTCAGCAGAAATGGCTGCTTTCGTTCTCTTCCGCTCCAAACTGATTTGCGACTGCACGATATTCCGTTAGAGAGAGTATTGCGGTGTTTCGATATCGGTACTGTTATATGTCCATTTTGTCGTCAATGGAAGGGGAGGATGTTGATTAAGGCGGCAACGTTGGCAATTCGGAAAATACAGACCATCTTTTCTCCCCTTCCCTCTTGCCTTATATAGGTTTTATCACCGCAGAGGATCATGCTGATATTTCCATTTTTCAATTTTATTCTTCCGAATAAATACAATGAGGTCATTCCACGCCAAAACGACCAGCGAGAAAGCTTGACCATCTCGGATTTTTACGAAAATCGCCATACACGTAGAGGAATCGATTTAAATAATACAATTTCAAACAATTTTTTTCCTTCCCCACAGATCTCCAGATATATGCATTCGAATAGAACCTATTTTTCGCTCCTATCGCCCATATGGACTGGAATTGTGAAACTGTTTCTGCCAGCAAAAATTTAACATATAGAGCTTCATAACATTGGGCTATATTTCCGTGAATCCCAGGTACAGCTATAAATACACTGTCGATGCAGTCAAACTATTATGCTTGATGAACCCCTAGAATGTCAACCTTGAATTTGGAATCATTAGAAAGAGGACAGCAGGCCCTTTTCATTTATGTATTACTGTATAAGTCCGGATTCACGAATGGAAAGTGGATTGGTTGGTCACTGAAGTCGGTCAAAGTGTTGGAGCAAGTGGAAAGTTAGCACTACTGCCGCATACAAAAATTCATATCTCGTCGAGCCATTTGAGTGCCAATCTCGAATTTGGTATCATCAGTAATGACATATCATGCACTTTCAAATGAAGTATTGGAACAAAGAATTTCCGAGGTGGAAAGTGTCAATATTGGCCACTGAACTTGATCAAACTGTTTGATATGGTGGAACTTCTTGTTTCAGCTTAGGAGAATAGTGCTTGGAATCAATTTAAGGAGGGCAATCTCACAATTAAAATGACACCAGAATGAAGCTTATATCTTTAGAGGGGAAGTTATTGCAGAAACAGTTTCACAATTCCAGTCCGTATGGGCGGTGGGAGGGAAAAGTAGGTTCTATTAAAATACATATATCAGGAGATCTGTGGGAAAAAAAAATTGGTTGAAATTCTATTATTTAAATCGATTCCTCTACGTGTATGGCGATTTTCGTCAGAATCCGAGATGGTCGAGCCTTCTCGCTGGTCGATCTGGCGTGGAATGACCCAATGATGAAGGGGGAAGGGGGGTCATTAATGGGCTCTGCTGAAGGAGGGGGAGGTAGGGAAAGAAAATTCCTAGTCGATGTCTTTTGTGCTTCATCAAGAAGACGATCATTGTAAGAACAAATGTCTTAATATTCAATCACTGATTTTTTTATATTTAAGGAGAGTTCGTAGCTGATACTATGCTTAGACCATTTAAATAATGAGGATGGAAATCCATTTTCCTTCGGGGTGTTCCTCTCTCCAGGCATACGTTTGGAGGGTATCATGAACAACTTAATATATTTATATACGAGTATAATCTATAATACCAGCCTGCGGCCGCTCCGCTGGCCGTGGATTGAACGGATATTTGAAAATGTTTATATAAAGATATAAAGCAGTTTAGATCAAACCAAGCGTTAAACATTTTCCAACAAACCTTGAAAAGTTCGAAAGAGAAAGATTAAAAGTATACCATACAATTAATGTCACTTTGGGTCACGATGGGTCATTCAAAATCTTTCTATGCAAATAGGACCAGATTTTGAGAGTAAGGTAACTTTTGAGTTTCTGAATTAAATGAAATTAGTTTGTGAGCTTCAGAGAATATAGACGGGAAATGATTCCCATGTTATCCCGCTATATGAATCCAGACTTTTGTTACAAGCTGTGTATATGTGGCACTTGATTCCTAGTCCTAGTCCTACTGGGCTCCATTCCTCAATTACCTTCCTCAGATTCTTATTATTCGATCAGATTCTTATGCGAGATTTAAAAATAAAGAATCAGCATGATACGGAACCAGCATTCGGATATTTTACCTCGCGAAAACCGTTCCTCACCTGACTCAACTGATGGGAATCGTAACCGCAGAGAAGGAAGAGAGCGTTCTTGCAAATTGTGTTCCCGATACCCATCCTGCTCAAGTATTTCTCCATCATCTCCATCCACAGCTCGTGAGGGAGGAATTCGTGGCGACCGATCAACTTCCACGTCCACTGCGGGCACATTTTCTTCGAATCACGTCTAATTCCAAGGAATTCAATTTGCGTCGAGTCTTACCTGCACTTGATCGACGAAGGGGGCGATGTACCGAATGGGACTGGCCATGTGATCGACCCTGGCCACGGGCCCCATCCCATGCATGGACAGGAAGCGACAGCTGTATTCAGGTCGCTGATCGCTGAGGACCCAGAACATCACCGTTCCCATGCTGTGCCCCACGTAAT